AGTTTTCACAAATCTGATAAAATGTTGCACGTGAATTGCAACAGCCCTTTGCATCCCTTTCAGATCCCTTCATTATGTTCATTAGTTTCTAAAACCTGATGTGTAATGAAAGCTTATATGTATCTAACTTCGGCTTTAGAGACCAAGTCTTCTGCAGACAGTTTATTGATTTCATCCAGAATGCCTTGCAGATAACCCCCCCTTCACATTTTCCTATAGATCTCTGGAATTCCTCTGCCTAGCATTTATCTTTTCCTTCCTAGAGTAGATACCTGCTGTTAGAAAACCTTGTAATAGTTGGAATTCACAATTTGCAGTACTCAGGCTAACTTCAGAAAGCAGTTTTGATCAGTCAGCTATCAATGAAGCCATGATTTTATCTGTTTTATTTTGTATTATGAAATGCTTATTCATATGCAGCTATTTACCTATTCATGTTCACGTGTTATTTTCTCAAAACAGAGGATATCAAATAAAGATATTCAGTATCCTTCAGTACGTAGTAGATTGGTAGCGATGTGTTTCAGAGAATGGATGGTGAGAGGGATAGAATTAGAATATAAAAACACATCAATTCCTTTGTAAGTAAAGTCAAGTCTTAAGTGGAAGAACCTTAAAATCGTAGTTGTTGTTGTTAAGGAATAATTATAGTCCATGTCCCAGAACCATCCTAGCTGAATGTAAGACAAAACAACTCCCCAGAATTCCTGAACAAAGGAATAGAGGTTTTGTTTTTTTTCAATAAAAAAATCATAGGCAGACTTCATTTTTCCATAAAAACCAGCCCTAAATAAATAAATATATGTGAAAAGTCCCTAGGAAAAATCCTTCCTATTCTGATGTAATTGACTATCAGATGCAGTAACAGTGAAGAAAGACCCCAAAGGAATCCACCTTAGTAATGGCAAAGCACATTTAATGCATAGAAGAATCTCTGTACAAACAGCCAATTCTTAAAGAAAGTCAAACTAAAACTACTTAGAATTTTCTGATAGCTGTCATAACATTCCTTATTAACTGAAGTTTAGTACTTGATACGACCTTTGACATCCATAAAATTTAAAGCCAACTGTCTCAACAGTCAATGGCTTCAGGTTTTTTTTTAATTGAACGTAATTTGGAGATTATACAGCACCTTTTGGTTGTTGTAGTTAATAAAATGAAGGCTCTCATGTTCTTAAGAGTTCAAAGTTATTTCCAGCATTCGCTCATTGAAAAAAAAATAAAAATCCAGAAGAATTTAGTTTACTTGTAGATATTTAGAAGGATATACTGTATGTCAACTGCAAGATCCAAGACTGTGACTATGGCATCCACTTTTTATCCAATTTGCTCCCAACATATTCACAGCAGGACCAATGGCACACTGAACTGAGCAATTTTATATCTTTACTATTTTTAGATTGTAAGAGAAATGTAAGCTATTAGTTCGCAACTCCTCAGAAAAAAAAAAAACCAGCCTTCCAATATCCAGTGTGAACCAACAGCCTGCCAAAACTAGCTTAGTAATATTTTCTCGATATTTTGTCATCTCAAAATCTCAGACTTATAAAAGCTACTTTAGGCATTGAAACAGGTAAATTTTCTTCCCATGAGTATCAGTTAATCCCATTTAATAAAAAGTGAAAGAACAATTTTTCACTGGCCTCAAACAAGACTGACTTTGGTATTAAATAAAATACAACTGCCAAGCAATGTACAGCCCAGTTTTTTCAAGTTATGGCAACTGTGAGTCCCCAGTAGCTTTTGTGTGGGCTGGCACATCTGCTTTAACAAGGCTTAGAAGAACAACCATCTGCATTTACATTAAAGAAAAGGAAGAGGGGAAGATGGAAAATGTGCTACTTTGGTGGTGCTGGAGATTTTTCTCTGATGCAGAACAAGACAGGCAGAGGTTTTAGACAGACACTCTCAACCTTCTTTACAATAAGCACCTCAAGGTAAACCAGGCAAAAGCTTAATATAAATATAAAATCAAGTACTTACATGTCTAAAACAGAGAATCCTCAAAGCCACTAAGCCAAGATAAAACAAGTATAAAATGATTTATAATAGAATGTCCCACTGTGGCCTCAGAGACAAACCCTCGCATATTGGACTGATTTCAAACAATTGTGACTTCCTATGTTCCAGTAAATTCCGCACAATTAATTTGGTCTGCTTCTAAGGAAGTTCTTCTGTCTGTCACCACAGAGTCCTAGCTCTAAGTCTGCATTCTAATACTCTCCACATAAGGCCTTCATTAGCTTCCCTGGCAGAGCCAGTGGAAGTGAAGCACTACCTACAGTACAGGGACCACACAAGCAATCTGGAAGTACACAAGTCCAAGAGACCAGATGGGATGCATGTCAAGAGCTGAGTGAACTCGCTGATGTCATAAGAAGGCCACACTATTATCTTTGAACAGTCACATCCATCAAGGGAGGTTCCTGGTGACAGGAAAAAGGCAAACACCATGCTCAGGCTAACTTCGGTTCTCAGCAAGATTATGGAACAAATCTTGGAACAAGGGTACTGAGAATAGTTGAGGGTCCAACATGAATCAGCAGTGTGCCCTGACAGACAAAAAAGCAAACCGCATTTTAGGTTGAATTAAATAGCACAGCAAGCTGGTCAAAAGAGGTCATTCTCCTCCTATATTTAGCATTGGTAAATTTATTAATGATTCCAGCAGGTGGACTGTAACATGAGTAGAAAACTAACAGTGTTTCAGTGCTCACCACAGGTTCAGATACATGATCATTTGTTTTCTTTAGCACTTGTGAGACCATCTAGAGCTCCTTTGGACATTCCACCCTTACTGGAATGACTGGGACTACAGGGCTGCAGACAAGGTGAAGGAGGATCTAACTTCAGTGTTAACTCCTACCTAATGGAAAGGAAGAGAAGAGGTTAAACCAGACTCCTGGAGCTGCATAGTGAAAGGACATTATGCACTTCAGCTGAGAACTTCAGAAAAAAAAAACTTGGTGGAAAGGATGGTCAAACACTGAAATGGGCTGCTGAATCACTGCTGGTCCTTGTACCATCAGCCCTCCACCGTACATTCACCAATGAATCATATAATGTCCTCTCCAGGGGAATATGGCAACATTTTAGTAATGCCAACAGTAATAAAAAAATAATAATAATTTTTTTTGAGCATTACTCTATCTTCCATGTTCTTTCCCCCCAAAAGAATACTGTAATTTCTTTTTACTCTGCATAAAGAATTCTTTAAGAGTTATTTGCATCCATCAACTAGAGGAAAATCCAACAGCTAGAAATTCCAGCGCAGTCTGATCTCATTTCCATAATATTATAAAACTGCATGCACATCTGTTTCTTTGAACTTAGAATGGGCTATCACATCTGATGCTTTGGTTGTGTCTGAGAACCAGTATTTAGTAAAGCCTTACATAATGATCTGGAAAAAGTAAGCATCCAATAACTAGAGCAGGAAGCTGTATCCTCTTTGCAATAACAAGAAACAACCAAATGTTTGATACACTCAAATTGAGTGTCTAAAAAGTTCATCACTTTTTAAAACTTTAATGTAAAATAATTTTGTTTTTTTTTTTTCACTAATTGAGTTTCTAGACTTCAAATAAAGCAGAATAAATTTCTATTGTATCTTTTTTTTGAAGCATTGTGAAATAATTGAAATCAGTAAACTCCAAAAACTTTCAAAACTGCAGCAGGTCCATGCTGAGCAACGTACACAAAAAGATTACTAAAACAAGACACAGCTAGCATGTGTTGTTGTCAACCCATAGCTACGCCTTAGCTGGCTGAGCAGCCAACTGTTACAGAATAACAGCTGAGTTCCTCCTGCCTTTCTGTCTATATAGCTCCCTGAGACAGATGAAATAAACTTTGCCAATTCACTCTTTCCCAAATTTGGTTGATATGCTTATCAGTTTCATCTTCAGCAGATGGTCATTTAGACAGCTCAGCTACATTACACTTGTTTGCTCAGAAAAGCCAGCTACTTAATGCTTTTCATTATGGATCAAAAACAAATGAGCTGAACAGAAATGAAGATGTTAATGCATTTGTAAATCTGTACACTACTTGAAGTAGGCACAGAAGCTGCTGTAGAAAATCCCAGCGAAAAGACATTGAATGATGAAGTAGAAAGCGACGTGACAGGACTTAGCTGTAGTTTAAGTCCTTTTTTAATATCTTATACTAGAACACTTCTGAGTTGATATGCAGAAAGCATTAAATCAAACAGAAAGTAGTACTTCTGTTAGCAATGACTCCATCATTGTTGATTGTTTAACAGCAGACAACAGAAACAGCATGAGATCTCCATGCTAAACCAACTAATCCAGCAGGCATTCATACACTTGTGCAAAGATAATCTGTAACTTTTTGTTGTTTGAAGGCTGTACAGAAAAGTAGGTAATTTTTTCAACTAAAGATATCAGTTTTCTATCAGAAGTATTAACAACATTTTTTTTGAAGGAAAATTCCCCTGTGGTTTGAGAACCCAAATGATTTTCAGCTTGTCTCTCCAAGAAAAGCTATTAAATGTGCTATTTCTTAATGTTCTAAAATGGCAGAGCCCCAGAGCACAGCATTCAGATAAATGTTTTTAGAGTACATTACAAGGACTTAATTCTGCTTATAGTTGTACATGTACAACTCAACATAAATGGATGCTACATGCAGACAGCCAAAGGCAAAATCTGGTACAAAACATTTCAAAAGGATGAAAACATTGGCCAAAAACATATACACATTTTATGAGTGAAGTAATGGAATAAAACCAGCTGTATTCATAACCACATTAAAACATTCTGCATTAACATCCCTAATTTCAGTACGAATATTGGCAATATTGGCATAACAGGAAAGCTACAGGGCATCCAGGAGTGAATGACCCACGTAATGTAATTAAAATGAGTACTAAATAAGCCATTGGAAAGGAACAAACATCAGGAGGTTATTAATTAAAAGGTATAATATTCCCAACATGCAAACTGGCAGCCACAAGTTGAGCACAGAAAAATTACCTTCTTGGTTTTCATACTGTTCTGTCAACAGATGGTAGCAGCAGCCTACACTGCAAACTGCTTTGATTTCAGGCTTGGCAGTAAAAATCCGTAGTGTGTTTGCAGCAAGGTCACCACATGTATGCAGACCAACCATTATACAGTCCTAGGAAGAGAAAAAAAAAAAGCTCAATATAAAGCATCTCCCTGTGCAACTGAAAGAACATGAATAACAACAAAATCCAAAATCCAAACATATTGCAAAGGGTTATTCATCTACAAAGTTTAAATATACAACTGCATGACAGCTCCACGTGTTCTGTTCCAGAATCTTTTCTAGGCATAAGAAAAGCACTCCAGTTTAAGAAAACACAGTGTTTGTGAGGAACCAGACTGCTCAGTATTTTGTTCATCTATGGAGCTCTGTTTCTATATACATTATCTCCAAGAGGAAGCAAAAGCTCAGGACTGTGAACAGCAGCCATTTAACTGCATGGGAGGGAACATCTGCATGATGACTGGACAGTGGCCATTTTCTCCTAGCTTTCCTGTCATAATTTTTACTACCACTGCTACTTCCTTTTCTTATTTCAGATTGACTACGACAATACAGACGGCTGGACCGATCTATGGCATTTCTGCTACTCTGAATTGCTGAAAACAAAACCACTTCCCAATAAACTTAACTTAAAGAACAGGCCCTTCTTCATCTGCTTTGTTACTTCCAGAACTGTAGCTGTACTGTGGTGTCCCTATGACTGTAGATTCAATAACATAAATTTCTTCCCTAAAATAAAGAACTTCAGATACTCCATTCCTCCATCCACTTTAATTTCTGGTTTCCTTCTTCCTCAGTTTCCCATTTTCTTCTATTTCACCATCTAAATCACCCCTCTTCTCACTGTTCAGAACAAGACTTTTCCCTTCTAGCACTGGGATCTAAACATGGTGCTTATTGCTTTGAATTCCAGTCGTATTTATTAAACATAATCAACAAATAATTAGCCAACATTCAGTTGTGGAACTTTTCTGATTCTATGTACATATCTATTTTTTTTATTACTTTGTATCTGTATAGTACACATTTGTGTGAAACTGTACAAACTCCTTTTTCTTGCTGTTCTTTCTTTTCACTCTTTGCTACTTCTCCTTGATTGCCCTCTGCTTTTCTCAGTAAATTTTTGGTGGCAAAAGTTCAGTTCCAGTTCAGCTTAGTTTTTAAAGACTTTTCTTCCTGTTTGTCAGCTCCAGCTCACCATTCCACAAAGCTTTTCTTCCACATAAAACAGAGCAGAACAATACCGATGTCTGGAGGCTAATGGAAGACATGCACTTGCAAAAGCAGCATTTAAACCGCTGAGTTAAAGTCAGAGAGGTTCTTTCAGGGGAAAGTGAGTGGAAGATGGCTATCGATTCCGCATGCCATCCATTCCATATCCAGGAAACACATTACAATGCTCAAAACCTCTGAACAATATGAGCATGATCTGCCTGGGTCAGGCACGCTTCTGGACCATCCCCGACTTCTCTGAGGTTGCCTGGGTGCAACTGAAAACACTTTCTGGATCACTGGTGTCAGTGCAGTAAAATTTGTACCTCAGCATTTGTCCAGGGTTACAAACAAACACACATTTCTACACCCACACTTCATCAGCAATTCAAATAAATTTCAGGACTTACAGTATGAATCAGTAAATACTAATGTTACACATTCCACTTTTTTCCCCCCAGTTTCGAAAAAACTGAGAAAAAAACACAATTTATGGTTAAAATAATAAATGTAAATGTTTGTAAGACTATTTGAAAAACAACATTTCTAAAACTTCCAAAAATATTTTAGAGCCATTTAAATGATTACATTTTTTAAACTATTTTAATTAAGCACATTCATCACATGTAGCATGCAGTCTGTTGTGTTTGTTATTTTTTTACCACAGTACAGTTTTTACTTTTTACAGTTAAGTTTTTTTAAAGACAGGCAGTGATGGAGGATTTCTCCTGCCTTTTATATCATACAAATCATATACTAAGAGGATATAAAATCCAAACATGCAAATGTTAAAGGCAGATGCTTTACCTACTGTTGAGAGGTATGTAAAGACAGTAATAACACAAACATGTATTCCTAAATGAGAAATGAAATACACATTTGAGTATATGAATGCATACAAGTTTTCATCTTTCCATAAAAGGCTGACTGTATCTACTCAATCAACATATGTCAGCTCAGGCACAGTAGCAGCTTCTAGACTTGCGTCACTGTCTTTGGGCAGCTGGGTTTGGACTTGCATGTGTAGACACAGTTCCTGCCAGCTAGCAGATTACTAAGTAACATGGAAAGGCCAAAATATAATGTTATTTAAATATACAACTCATTATAAACTCCTGATGTTGAGTAATGTACTCAATAAATTACTTCATGCCTTCAAAATTTTATTGAAATTATAAAAATATAAAACTTCAAGAAATTTCAGGAAAATTGAAATTCCAGGGTTTAAGACATTTGTCTCCCTGGTAAATAAAAAATTCTTAAACACTTAGATGTCATCTGTAATCATCTGTGATCTGTAAGACAGTGGAATATGTTAATATGTATACTGTTAATTCTGACATCTGATTATCATCTACTCAATAAATTCTAAAGGCTGTTTTACATATTCGAAACAATACTAACACATATACTGAAGTAGAAAAATAATCTCTGAATCTGTAATACATACCAGTGTAAACTAGCTGGGTCAGAGTATTCATTCACATATGTACACACATCACACATTACGGATGTATGAAAACAGCAATATAAAGACAAAGGAAAATATATTTCAAATATTAGTGACGTAACCTCTAAATCTGTTATGATGTCACTGAGTTCTGTTTCTGCGCTGATGTAGGAGGTCAATGGAAAATAAAGGCTTGATTCACTTGACTTGCTCTCTTTTGCCTTCATAAATGCCATTTTTCTTCGTGCTCTTTCCTCTTCACGGACTTCCCCATAGTTACAGTGGGATGAAGAAAAAAATTCTACAGCATCAGCAGGCAGAACACTGAGAATAGCAAGAGCCTCTTCGGAAAGCTTGCTCTCATCAGACTGTGCCTGAGCCAAATTGATCTCAGTTTGTTTGCTGGTCTCAGATACAGCTGCTTCTGTGAAAACACAAGAAGGAACTAAGTCTTGGGTAGTCCCTTGGTCTTCACTTTGAAGACTGCTGTTATTACTTAAGGGCTTTTCATTGATAGCTTTACATTTAACTTCATTTTTTATTGGCTTTTCCAACCTCTGGGTCTCAGAATTGACTCTTGCTCGACTCTGATAAGTTTTCCAGTGTTTCTTCAATTTCCTGTTCCTTTCATGAGCGCCGTTAGTATTGGTTTTCGATGAATCGATTCCATAAACTTTCAAGTTATATTGCATAGACAAAAATGAACTCAGGTAGCCCTTTCCAGAACCTATATCAATCACCTTGATAATGGAGAAAAAGGAAAAAAAAAAATAGAAAAAAGGGAAAAAAAAGTACCATATTAATGAGCAACAAGACACATTTAAATCAAACGCAAAATATTTCCGTAAAAAACTAAGCAGGGATTTGATAATAACTTTATCAGTTATCCCTCTTACTACACTTAAATCTGCTTTCTGGCACACTTTCTGACTTTAAAAAACAGAATTAAGTCAAAACTGATTTCCTTTAGGAAACAGACAGTGCAATGCTTATGCACTGCACATGTCCTGACGCTTTTGGAAAATACTTTCAGTATGTATTTTGACATAGAACTTCCTTCTGTTAAAGAAAATAACCATAAATCACCAGCACTACCACCTGCATTTGCCAAACGGGGTTAAAATACTCAGTTAGGAAGTGTCCATAGTAAGTTTAGACACTTAGGAGTCTAGTACACGTACGCAGAAGAAAATGTCTGCAGTCTCAGTGCTTAACATAATCAATTCAGAGGTGACCTAAAGACAGGCCATATTAATACTGCCTCTTATGTCAGAACACCTATTTATACTTTTTTGTGTGTGTGTGAAAATAATCCGTACAAATCAGTATAACAGAAGGATGTTTTTGTAATAAAACAAAGGGCCTGGTATATCCCATGTGCTTTCCATTGCCTGGTCTGGAGGAAGGTGTGAATAGGAATGATAACCAGCTGAAAGTTCAGTTTCTCTCGTAGCAGATAGCATGTGATACTTCAAGTGACATTTCTCTACGGGATGAAAATCATAACATTCACTTCTGTTCAGATATGAATCAAAAAATATATACTGAACATATACAATGATTTTGTAGATGTCCCTGAAAAAGATTAATTTGAGAAGTTTTTCATGTTGTGTTCTTGGTTTGTTGAACATTCATAAGGAAGTAGAGACTGACTGCGTAAGTGTAAATGCCAGAATATATTGCATGTATCCACCTTAAACACAAGTGCGTATGTTTTAACTAGGTAGGAATATGCAGTTCAGAAATATCCTGACAGAAATGAAAAAAAATTATTCTAAAAATACAAAAGATTTGTACAGTCATGGAATTAGGAAAGAAAGATTAAATAAATGCCATTAAAGACTACAAAAAAAACAGTGGAGAATACATGCCATTAAGTAAAAATTGTCTACTCAGGCTATACACACCTTTCTCCTTTGCCTTCTCCATATAATATTACTGCATGTTTGCTTGTCTAGGTACATGAGAATCCTCAAATTTCTTGAGTGAGGAGAAGATACAGTCATATATTACATTAATCATCAATATTATCTCAGATTATTTAAAATTGAAGGAAAGAAAAGTGCCCAAGGAGTAATTACCAAAGAGTAATTTATGTAACAGATGTTATTATTATGCAGAATATGCACATCTCCACTTCTACAAGGTATTTTAACTACTTCTGTGAAGTCAGTGTTTGGGCAGAGAATTACTAAATACTCCTGACTCATACACATGATCTCTAGTGGCTATAAAGACCAACTGCTGGTTCTTGAAGATTTTTTCAGCTGTTTACAAGTGAAAAGAATCACAGAACAATTTGTGTTGGAATGGACCTTAAAGATCACCCAAGCACCCTGCCATAGGCAGAGAACAGACCAACAGAGCATGTTGCTCAAAGCCTTGTCCAAGCTGATCTTGAACACTTCCTGGCATAAGGCATCTATTCTCAGGAAAAAATAATACATTGTTTAATTAGCACTGGGAAATTAGCTCTGAAACGAGGAAATTTTGACTGAAAATGCGATGATCCTGTGCTCAATAAATAGAGTGGATTAAATTAATCCATGTTTTACCTTCCCTTGATGACATAAGGAAAGACAACCAGTAACCCATAGCAGATCTGCCAAGCATGAACATTTAAAATGAAATTTCCATGATATAATGATCTCCAAAGGTCCTGTCCATAGTGAGCTGGGTACTATGTTTAAATACACCTTCTGGCAGCACACAGTCAAGGACTCCATACGCCTTACAACTTTTCCCAGCACCAAATCACAAATGTAATGGATGGTGAATGCAGAATTACATCATACTTGCAACTTCTGTTGGACATGCTGCAGTTTCCAAAGAAAACTTTCACAAATACATCAAAGAATCAAATGTGCAATTAAGTAAAGAAAAATTACTAATGGCTTCTTTTCACACTTTAATCAAGAACTTCTTTCTAAAAAGTTCCGCTTGTATGAGGACAATGATGCTAAAGAGGAGCAGTAAACAACTGAATAAAACTTCAGTTAATTTGCTTTAATGTTTTAATTCAAATCATTAATCTCAAAATAATTACAGTAATAATAGAATTTTTGCTTTTATTTTCATTTTTACTATATTTTTAGTATATTGTAAAATACCACAAGAGGACAATATGCTCGACTGCCCATTATACATCATGGTATGGAGGTGAAATGGAGGGCATTTTTCAACCCGTCAGTGATCTGTAATATCTGAAAGAAACACCCTGAGGACACATGCTATTGTAAAACATGTGTTGTGTTTTCATAGCTCTAGCATTTTTAATTAAATGTTATATACATTTTGTTTTGCCGAGTAGGACAGAAAAAAAAATCAATAAAGAAAACACTCTCCTAAAACTTTACAATTCTTATATTGTTTTAAGTTGAAAGGTAACCAAAACAATAGAAGTTGCTTTTTAATAACTGGGAAGGAGGCTTTTCTGTTTTTTTCTTTTTTAACATGTACTGGAAAGCTCTTTTCATATATTAGGGATTTGTAACTTAGAACAAATAAATTCTCTCACAGTATATGACTAAAATGGAAAAAAGTTAATATAAAGCAGTCAGCATTTCATATTCAGAGATATATTGCAACCATATTTTTCATTAAATGCTACGATTTTTTCAAAAATTAAACAGAAAATAATCCTAAGGATACTCCAAGTCATCTGATAAAAGTGCATCATCACAGGCTGAAATTGTAGTGCACTGACAGATACTTAATAATTGTTAGTTTGAGATTTTATTAGTAACCAGCTACATCGAGACTTAGTTGAGGTCATTAAGGTGGCTCTACTTTTTCACTCTCTGATTATGGCTTTTTCTTTCCTCTCACTCACGAATCTCATGGGAAGTATTTAAAATCAAAATGAAAATGGTATATGAAACACCACCAATTCATCTTCTAGCAAATGCAGAGAACATTTAGTATCACATTATTTGCAAACTACACTTTTCTAAAACTTTTTCAGTACGTGAAAGTCTTCAACACTTGAACAACTGACACTTGCCTGAAGGAAGAGGTAAGCAAGGCAAAAAAATATGTGAATGGAATGACTAAAATTTACTTTTTTGTATCTATTACTACTGCATTTTCACACTTTATAGAGTGCATACACTTTACGGTTGTACAGGACATCCACATTTGTTACTGTGGCTATCTCCTGATTGAGCTACTGGAGAGATCTCATACCATCTCTGAGTAACTACAGATGCTCACAGATTGCAATTCATCCAGTAATATTTGGCCTTAGCTGCAGTTCTCTGTTTACTCAAGATTCCCAGTTGTAATGAGGAGATTGCCTAGAACTTTGCCCTTTGCAGCTGCTCCTTACAAAACAGACAAGTTAGAGGTCAGAATTTTGATCTTCAGCTTCTAAAGACACTGACCCAAACCTATGAAGAATACTTCATCAGAACATATCGTTTACATTATCTAAAATAAACTCAGTCTGAGCAAATAACATGTGTCTAACACATACAATGTGAAATATGGTACTGAAAAAAGTCAAGTGTTGTGATGCTTGTGTTTTGCCAAGAGAAGCATTAGTAAACATCTACAAGGTTTTCATGTAACACTGACTTAGTGAATTACACAATCCTAATAACATTAAGAAAAGGGTAAGTTACAGTTGCATTTTGGAAGAGAAATCCTGCAATTCTTCATCACCCAAGGATGAACTTGCCATCTGATGCATGTGGTTTCAAAATTCCTTAGATTATCTGCATTTTTCCCTATGTGTTACCCTTGTGCGTCTCACAGGTGAAGATTAAGGTTTTGCCCTTCTACTGAAGTCTACAGTAAATTGCCAGCAATAGAAGGCAGCAAATGAAACAAGGCACTGTCTGTGCCTAGCAAAAAGCAGTACAATTTTTAGCTGATCAATATACAGAGGATGAAAAGATTTCTTACTTTTTTTTTGAGTCACAAAATGACCATGGCTCTCTAAAAGGCAGTTCCTTGAGAACAACCCATTTATAAACAAAACTGCCCTTCAGCTCGCCCCTAAAGGCTTTTCTTTAGCTATATTATTTATAGAAAAAAATGAGAACTGTGAGGAAAAATATCAAAATATGGTATTTGAAGAGAACAAAGATAATTAAACAGTAACATACATTAAGAAATGCCTTACCTGCTTTAAACCACAGTACTTTGCTATTTTGTCTACCAGCTCTGACATTGCTTGCACTTCATGCGATTTCTTATTATTCATAAACTCATCAGTTTTGATACCTGTATCAGATTAAGAAAATATATACATATTGACACAATCTATAATAATAAACATTTATAATCCATTAGAATATTTTCCAGTCTAAAAGTATTTCTAAGTATTTTTTATACTTTAAGAGCAGTAATCTTTAATTAAACATCCACTGAGCAGTTACAAGACTAAACTGAATTATACATAAAAATAGATACATGAAAAAAATCAACACTTTAAAATATAGCACTTTTAAAGTAGGTTGTTTTTTTTAAACTATAAGTATCTAAGACCTGACCAGATATTAGACACAAGCTATTTCCAAAAAACTACTTTCTTTTATTTTTTCATTTTAAAAGATTAATTTTTATGTGATTTATCATATTGATATTTACATATATGAAATATAAAGGCAAGGACAATTAACAGTCACACAGTGTTGTTTGTTAATTCTCCAGATTTGTTCAAAGTATCAAGTGGAAGATACCTTAAATAAAGGTTATGACAATGCTGGTAAAATTTAAAGAAAGATGCAGTGTTTTTTCCCCTTTATTTCCACTATGGATAGATAATAGAACTGCTATATGTTTTCAGAAGAAAATGACTCAAAATATGTTAATGAGATGAAACCAACCTCTAGCACCAGTTTACGTAGCTACATCTCTTCAACTAAGAACTAGCTCAGAAGCAGCTCCCTTGTGAGAAACCTTATGAGTTAAATTGATAGCAATTTTTGAAAGTCTAGGTGAGGGTAGAAGAAAGAGGACCGCTACTGGTGAGCATGATCTTACAAAACAAAACAGATTAATATATTCCCATTTTCTGCTTTTTGCACAGTATGCCTTCGTCTGTCCAAAATCTGATCATTAGGTAAAATCTATGTTCATTCCTTGATCAGACCATGCTGGGAACAGAGCCAGGAGCATTACTTATTTAAAAGAGAGTGGGGAATTGCACTGAGCTCATGAGAAACCTAATGTTTTCTCTATTTCTTGAAAACCCACAGGATCTTTCAATTTCTCAAACATCTGGTTTTTTAATAACAAACTGCTATGACAATTAAAAATCTAACAACTGACAGAAGAAAATAATAGCCTAAAATATTTTTAACAAAACAAAGCAAAACAAAAAAAAAAAAAGAAACAAGTGTTTTGCTAAAGTATTCACTAAAGATTCTCATTTGCTTAAAATGGTGAAGATCTCTATGGCCTCCCAAAAACTCTTAATTTGTAACTATTTCAAACAAAAAAAAAAAGAAGAAAAATAGAAAAAAAAAAAACCTTTTTTTTTACTTTTGAACTTTTTGGATAAGCTCAATTAAAAAAAAAAAAAAAGAGGTAAAGAAATAAAAGATTTGTTTGTCTGGTCTCCAAAGCAGCGCCTTCACTCTGAGCCATCATCACATATTGCACCTTCCACCCTTTGCTATAATACAAGATCAAATGACTGACATGGTAATACTCTGCAATAGAATTTCAAACAGTACTTAAGCCAAAGTATTTCAAATGCCAGGGGCAAACCCTGCAACAAGACCCAACTTAAAGGAACTGAGGTTCCAGGTGAAAAAAAATTGTGTGCTCACACCTACAGATATATTTATTACCTTAGTTACTACAGTTTCTAAATTATTTTTAGACCTACATTTTGCAGAATGAAAACTGCCTAGATTTCAGCACATGCAAAATTGCTTGCAGAAGATTACTTTTATTAGTTTTATTTTTGCTGGGTTTTCTGCTAAATGTTGATTGCGATAGCCTTGTGTTTGTGTTTTTAAATCATTTTGGCAAACAAGCAAACATATGTCAATCTAATAGGAAAAAAACCCATCTCTTTAAGGTCTGGTTTAGATGCCCAAAACATCCTTCTGTGACCTAAGAAGAAAGCGAGGCTCCAATACTTTACAGAAGTACTCTGGATATTACAGAGTAAAGGAGAGCTTAATGTTTAAGTGGTACTGAAATGCTGCTTGTTTACATTGTGAACCCTAGCGTAAGTAGATGCTTTCCAATCGAAAAACTGCTTTAACTCTACAGTGCTATTTGTACCCACATCTTTAGTTCTGACCTAGACAAAGTGAGGAGAGACTGCATTTCATATATGCCTAATGCAGATCTTCCAGATCTTTTATACCCTTGCTACCTGTGGAAATTCAGATATACCAGATTTAAAAGAAATTTTCAGTCCATTCATAATTTACAACACTATCTACACAGAAGTTACAGTACTGCAATTTAATTTTATCAGCCAAGACTGGCAGGGACTGGGGTGACCAAATGCTAAAAACCATTCAGACAGTCCATGTAATTTAAAGATAGATTTATTAACAATTGCATGACTATTACATAGTGCATAAACACAATGAAAAGGTAGAAAGCACTGCTGTTTCAATATTTTAGCAAGCCTCTCTCCTTATGTCAAGTATAAAAGAGAAACTGTCCTTACTGGCTTGCTCCTCTTGGGTCAGATCTTCTGGATCCTTGCACTCAACACAAGCAACCCAGTGGGGCAATGAGGGCCACAGAGAATTTCATTGGAATGGAAAAAACACATTCAGACTACACTTAAATTTTGGAACTAACCTTTTCAGGTAATCATTCTAAATAAGAATAGTAATGTCTGCATCAATATGCTATAGAAGTTAGAGAACTACACACGCAGTTAATTCATCCAAGTAAGTTAATTTAACTGATACTTTGCCAGTTCAACACAAAGGTTTTGAATTATAATACCATTATGTTCAGAACATTAGAACATTTTATTTTCTCAGTGAAGTACCATTAGAATAACTACATCACAAACCCAGATCCCAGCTACCCAACAAAACAGAACTCCTTCAAGACAACAAAATAATTAGTAATTGTCTTATTCTATGTTTCATTCTGCATGAGGAAAATGATGAAAGAATCCTTGTATTTTTGCTTGAGAAAGTCAATCCAAGCATGAACTCAAGTACATATATAACAAGGAAGAACTACAGAATTACTGAAAATTAAGCAGAACACAGAGAATGAGAACACAACGAAAATGCTAATAGCTAAAGAGTAAGCAAAAGTAAAACAGCACACTGCTGTCAAATGAGGAAAAAAGGCTTCAGGCAGAAAAACAGCAGAAGGAAAGAAGTCAGGAACTAAACTGACATCAAGATCAATGCACAACAAACCATTAAGACTATTTGAGCTGCTTCAGTAATTCTGAAGAAATCTAAAACTGGGGAGACAAATATGAAAAATAGCAAAATTGGAAAGAGAAGATTGCTGTAGAAAACAGGAGAGATGCCTAATGTATCTAAATTGTTGCTATCACTTAGGATGGGAAACATCAGAGGCATTTTAATTTATTACAGTGACAAAGTGCACTAAAAAGCAAAGGCTACTGGCTTAGAGTCTGTCTCTGAAAAACTAATGAGAAATCTGAAAGATGGTGAGAAACGTATGACTGAAGATTCCATAAAGAACAGATGCAGTGAAAATGACAGCAGTCAAAGCATAAATGTAAGCTCATCATCCAAAACAAACAAACAAAAAATTAGAGGGAAGACTTCCAATGTAAAGATACCACCTTGAGAGTGTTTTCAGCCAATCTCTTCAAAGACAGCAAATGAACCTACTCTAATTTTAGGACACATATTTGGTACTGGTCCAAAAAATACAGAATGAATAAAAGCAGCTTCTTTTGAAATATCAGACTCTTACTGGGCCATATTCAGTTAAATGCCCAAGCACATGTCTAACATTAAACAAAAGTTGTGTGCAAAAAAACAGCACCTGAAGAGGTATGGCTGCCTGACTTTAGACTGAAACTTGAAAACAAACAAAGAAAACCCCAATATTAGCAGTTATAATTTGTGTTGCTGTTGGAGAAGAAAAACAAAAGGAATTAACAAGATTTTTCATCTGTATATGAAATAACGATGTGCCTGATTGCCTACCTCAATCCCTTTGAAACACGGAGAATCTCAGCAAAAGCCTGAATGCTGTCACCCCTCTGCTGAAATTTAAGCACAAGAAGCCACTTTCTAAAAAATGGCAGTGAAGAAATTATCTAAGAACAAATGAGATTTGAAGTTGAGAAGCATGCAGGAAAGAAATGCATGTAAGAACAAAACAAAACAAAACAAAAAAACAACACAAAACCACCCTCTGGAACAAAAACTCTGCAGATCCTGTAGCGAGAGAATTAAAAACTGAAATATAAATGTAAATATACCACTTGCTTCTTGGCTGTCTCCTCTCAGCGCTTCAAGTATCTCTTCTAATGGGGTACACACTCCAAGGTTAGGCAAAGAATAATGCTTGGCAGCGAGGGCAAATAAGTGTACATTGATAAGTTTCTTGGAGTTTTCACAAAACACGTCAGAAAATGTGTTGTCATCTGTATGGAAAAGAAGAGGTTTCTATTAGAAATGCTTAGCACCCCTGCAGCATCTTCCCATAGAACAAAAAGCAATAAATAACATGGTATGAGACAGAAGTAACAATTTATTCCACATGTGAAAATTTGCCATTATTCTACAGCTATTTTCCTCCCCTTTCAGATTGCAGGTCAAAATTTGCTCTTAGATGAACTAGTGCAGATGTGGAAAACTATTATTTTAGCACAGCTATTTTAATATAACCAACAAGATAATTCAGTAAACATCATCACGTCTGTTTACAAACATGCTCATTATGCCTTTCTTAGTTATCTCCATTTGAAAATATATATACTACTAGATATTATAAGAATTGAAGCTGTTCAACATAAGAAATGTTTTGACTTATACACATTACATTTACATCACTTCCAAGCTGCATTGTAGCTGGTGAGGTGCTGGAACAGGCTGCCCAGAGAGGCTGCGGATGCCCCGTCCTTGGAGGTGTTCAAGGCCAGGCTGGATGGGGCCCTGGGCAGCCTGGTCTAGTATTAAATGTGGAGGTTGGCTACCCTGCATGCATCAGGGGTTCCTTCTAACCCAAGCCATTCTATGATTCTATGGTGAATCTGCTGGGAGAATTAAATTAATTTTTATTACCAATCAGGTTTGAGCCAAAGTTAAATTCCAGTGCATATTTTGTTTGACTGAGGATGAAACATTTCAGTCTGGCATTAGTTAGCTCTTCAGAAAATGTTCCCTTTTCAAAAATGCACATCAATTTTTAAGTGAAACATACATTGGTAAGAATCACTTACTAAATCTGAGATTGCTTTGAATTTTCTAATTCCTCTGTATTTTAGCTAAACATATTTGCTGAATTCTCTATAGTTTTGGTAAAAGTAATTTTAGATCTCTAAGCACTTACAAATGTTTTATAATAGATGATAGCTAGCAAGACATGCAAACAAACTGTAACACTCATTTTAAAAATATTTCCTGGTTTGTCTTTTCTCTCATGGGTAGATAATGAGCAAGTGCATACCTAGCACAGCAACCTTCCAGAATCTGGCCTGCCCACCTGTACAAAGCATAGATCTATTTTATTCACTCCCTTTCTAATACTCTTCATTTTCATACATGAGTAGTGATCTCATATAAATTTCAGTCTATGGAAAACAGTCACAAAAATGTCAACACATTTATTTTCACAGTATAACAATACCAAGGCAAGAGTTAGTAAAAAAACATATAGAACTAAGAAGGCATAAATACTAAGCCGTAACCAGAATTAAATTCAGTGCCTGCATGGCACTTTTTACAGTAATTCTCTGTGAAACAAAATCAAAAAGGAAAGCCATTTTTCACTCTAAATGACTGCTTCTTGTTTGAATTTCAGAATATTTGCTAATCTTTAGTTGATTAACCTTCAAGAAAGATAAAAGTGAAATACAAGGGTGCTCCAAAAGTAACACCTCTTGTTTTATTATATTGACCCTCAGCTGTACATATTGTACAGCTTATTGGTGTATAATATGTTGGAGATTTGCATCTTTAAATGCAACATAATTATATGAACAAACTTAGCACAGGATCTATAGAATATTCTGAATTAGAAGGAATTCACAAGGATGACCAAGTCCAGCTCCTGGCCCCACAGAATGCCACCTAAAATCAAATCACATTTTTGAAAGCACTGTCCAAATGTCTCTTGATCTCTGGTAGCTTGGGGCTGTGACCACTGCCTGGGTGGGAGGTGAAGCCTGTTCCAGTGCCCGCTCAGCCTTTGGTGAAGAACCTTTTCCCAATCCCCAACATGACTATCCTCATTTCCTCAGGCCCTGTCACTGTCACAGAGCAGAGCTCAGCGCCGTGCCTTCACTCCCCTCATGAGGAGCTGAAGGCTGCCATGAAGCCTCTGCTCAGCTCCTCTGCTCTGGGCTTAACAAAACAGATGACTTCAGCCACTCGTTAAGTGTCTTGCCTTCCAGACTCTTCCTCATCTTTATAGCCCTCCTTTAGAGGCTCTGCAATAGTTTTATGCCCTTCTTATATCATGGTACCCAAAGCTGCCCACAGCGCTGGAGGTGAGGTCACACCAGCACAGGGCAGATTGGGACAATCCCTCTACCTGCCCTACTGGGTTCAGTTGGCCCTTCTGGCTGCCAGGGCATACTAACAATTCATTCAACCTGCCATCAATCAGCACCCTCAAATCCCTTTTGTCAGGGCTGCTCTCCAGGCTCTTGTCCCCAAGTCTGTACTTATACGTGGGGTTACTCTGTCCTGATTTCAGAATCTAGCACTTGCTCTTGTTAAATTTTATGCGGTTAGTGATTGTCCAGCCCTCCAATTTTGTCAAGATCTCTCTGCAAGGCCTCTCTTATCAATGAAGTCAAAAACTCCTCATTATTTAGTGCCATCTGTGAACTTACTCGGTATACTATTAAATCCTATATACAGATCATTAAACAAAACTGGCCCTAAAATGGATCCCCTGCTAGTGACTGGTCACCAGCCTCATGTAATCCCATTTACTATAAGCCTTTGCACAAGGGTTAGCCAAAACCTAGCTACAGCAGAAAAATAGAAGCAACCATACGTATACCCATCTTACACCACCCTACCCTGATGACGCTATGGAAAAACATAAACCTATACAAGGAAGACATTCATCCTAATTTTTCAAGCTACCTTTCAAATAGCTCACAAAGATCAACAGCGCAAGCAAATATTCTGCAGATAACAAATATCAAGGGGAAATGACACCATCCTATGCCAAAAAGTAAGACACATCTCTGCAGACCATCTCCACACTAAAGGCAATTGTTGGACTACTTACTATTCACAAATATAAAAAATTGCAGTTTTCTCAAACTGTTTCTACTTTGGTTGCTCTCAAGATGAAATCCAACATGTCTTTTTAACCAGACAGTCCAAATACTTGCAAATAGATCTTTGGAGGAAAGAAATATATGCCAAAAAAATGGAATTGTAGTACAAATGGTAATTTACAGTAAAATATGAGAATAATTAGGCAGAGATTTTCTGTGCCTGTGTCCAATTTGCAGAAATCACATGATAAACAAGATACAATATGGCAAATGTTAGCTTTTAAATGTATAAAATATATAAAATGATTTTCTATATCTAAAAACTGATCTGAAAAAAATCTGTATACTACCACTGGAAACCAGGAATTCTAACCTTTATGTCATCATTACAATGAAATATCTGATAAGTGTCTGAAAATATTCTTTAAAACTAAGCTGAAGAACATGTAATCTTCCTCTTGCACACAATACCATACCACAGAACTGTAATTTGTCGCTTATCTATCTCTAAGAGAAAATTACAGCTTAGCATGTGTACTCATCAAAATCCCTACAGTAAAATAAAATATTGTGCACAATAACAGTTTTGTGTCACTCTGTAGTAATGTCACTTTTTAATTTGCAGAACCATGTGAATTTGAACTGACGACCTCTCATTTCCAAATAAATTCTGTCAAGTGTAGCCTGTGTTCCCCTTTAATTTCACTTGGGATTCTGGAAAACTTCCATAGTAGTGTTTGGAATGTGAACGTATTAATGCACAAACTCTTAGAGAGCAAAGGTTTTACCAGATGAAATCAGAATGCCATTTTACGCACACTGTGCGTAAGGTATTTGGGATACATGACTCCAGTGTCATTTGGACACATGGAACAAATCTCTTCTTATAGCTACACCTCCTCATAAGAAAAAGGTCACTCTGTGAATGACAGCATGTTAGGAGAGCATTTAGTACTCATTTCAAACTATATGCATATAACTAATGTTTAAATATCTGATAATTTTAAAATAAGAAACACAGCCTCAGCAGGAAGGCGACACACTCTCCTAAAACACGTGCTTCGTTTTAGCCATAAGTTGTGTCCTTTGATCCAGCAATTCCTGTATTAGATTCCATAGCACACACTTTGAATACAGCTCAGAAAATGATTTTCCAATTTTAAATTCTACAGCGCAATATTCTACCTTCCTGCCTCTCTACTTAACAGGCCACCACCTCAGTGTCTGAATCATTTCATGGGCTATCCCATACATACAGTTAGGATTAAGGTAATTTTCCTTTACAGTTTTCTTTTTGATGACTTCATCCAAATATCCGTTTTATTCTAGACTCAATTACACTCTATTTTATGTTCCCACTATTGCTTAAAATCAGCTCTGACTCTGACATTACCTCTGAAATATACTTGACTTAAAGGTTTTGCTCACCACTTCCCAACACTTTTGCTTGCTGACTGGTTCTGTCTTGTTTCCATCTGGCTCCCAAAGTCAATTCATAACCCAGTGTCTTTTTCATACATAAATTAGCTCTGTTTTTTGTGTTGGTTGTTTTTTTTTTTTTAAAGGAGTCTTACAGTTAGTATTTTGAAGGTCTTCAGATCCAAGAGACAAATGTTACAAGTGATGTCGCAATTCGCAGCTCTTCAATCACTTTCCAAATTCAAATTATTATCTGTTTGCCGTTTATGCCAAAATATACTCAGCTCCACATGCTGGGGTTTTTTTTGTGGACCCTTACATTACACTCCACATGTTCTTCTGCCTCATGTGTCATTTCGCGTGCCATATTCCAGAACTAATGCTACATGAGAGCCATCTACGCTTAACAAGCTTTGGCATGATGCAGTTTTTTCCTCTGCTGCATTCTTTGTCAAAGATATTACCTTCGTTTTGAAGCTGATCTCTTTGCCAGGACTCAGGTCCTCAAAATAACAAACCTTTCAGATGCTTTATCTTCATTTCTCTACCCTGCCTGAGAGCATATTATCGGTACATTTCCTTTTTACATGGAGAGCAGTAAATTCACTCATAGAATTTCATAGCTGGCCTCCTCTTGAGTTACTTGAAAATTACTAAAAATATGAAGTGCTTCTTAAATAGCTCTTGTCAGAAATAAAACTGCTTTCTGTCTTCCTTTGCCAGGCACTCATTATAACAGACATATAGGAAAGCCACGCTTAAGTCTTTTCCAGCTGTCCTCCACATTTCCACAGTTCCAACATTTGGAGGACTTTAACAGTTACATCTTTCCACTCGCATGGATTTATTTTATACGTATATATATTTTTTTGTTCATTTTGCTCCAGTTATTCAGAAATTAGTCCGAGGGAAGCCGTCTGCCAGCTGGGAACTTCATGCCATTTCTCACTCAAAAGGAACGGGGGGGAAGTTTGAAATGAGACCACGACACCACCTAACATTATGAGCGCCTCTCTGGGTGCAATTCCTCGCACCGAGGCGGTGCTATCGAGGTTGCAAAGACGTCGCAGAGAGTGAGGCGAGCACAGCTGGTCCGCATACACGGAGGAGCACAAAGGGCTCCGGGAGAGCAAAGCAGCGGCAAAGCACTGCGGAAACGGCTGCAAAAAAAGCAGCTGGTACAGGCGGAGGAATAAAGAGCAGCTCTGCAGAGTGGTGTGAGATTCTCCTTTTATTAAAGCAAAGGGAAATGACTGCAATCTGACTTTGCCACAGAAAGGAGAAGGCCAAAGAAGTCTGAATGGCGAGGACAGAACCTCATAGTGCCTACACCGCCCGAAATACCATAGCGGGAGGCAGGAAGCGCGCAGCCGGCTCCTGGTCCCTGCCCGCGCCCCACCGCTAAGCCCCGCCGCGACTCACCCCACCGCACGGCCGCGGCGCCGGAGGCCTCCGGCAGGGGGCGCCGCAGCGCCTGCAGCACAACCTCGGGGCGCGCCGCCACCAGCTGCTCCCACAGCCCGCGCGCGTAGAACTCCGTCGTGTGGGCGCGGCACAGCGGCAACGCGCGCGCCAGGAACCGCGCCAGGCGCCGCAGCCCCTCCTCCGCCTCCGCCGCCGGCAGCTGGGCCGGCAGAGCGCCCCGCGCCCGCCGCATGGCCCCTCGCCACTAACGTCCGCCCTCGCGGTGCCGCCGCCGAACGGCCAGGCGGGCGAGTCGAGCGCCGAGCGCCGAGCGGAGGCGGCGCGCCGTGGTGACGTAGCAGCTGTGCGACGCTGAGGCAGCGATGGCGGCGGCGCGGCGTGCGGGGTCTGAGCACGGGGCTTTGGAGAGCGCAGGCAGCGCGGCTCGGCGCCCGCAGCGGAAACGGTTATGGAGGCCCACAGCAATGCACGGCCTTCTGGGGAGCGTCCAGCAGGGTGAGCCTGACTGCGGGCACGCGGCTGTCAGGAGAGCACTGACGCTGATCACTCTGCCGGCTTATGGTCACGCAGATGAGTGGCTTCCCTGTGGCATTGCAGCCGTGCAGACTCCGTAAGCCCGCTGCATTGCTTGTATCAGTGGCGTAACGTGTGCTGTGTTCCATAAAGTAGCGTGTTTACAGTGATGGTGAAGTTCAGGCAGTAATTTTCAGTACATTGTACAAGCTGCAGTAGGGATTGGGTTTCTATCAGTTTTTTTTGTTTTTGTTTTTTTGTTTTGTTTTTTTTGTTGTTTTGTTTTGTTTTGTTTTTTTCCCCTGAATCTTTAAAAGGTCCTGATGAAAATGACCCTAATTAGTGTTCTCCTCTGGGAGGAACGTAAATGGGAAGTGGTCATGGCAACAGCTACGTGGTTTGTTGCTGCTTACTGCTGCTTATTTGACTCCCTTTTTCCTTGTGCTTACAGGACGAGGATTTGCATTTCGGAGAAAACAGAAGATTGAAAGGAAATACAGGAAATTATTGAAGAAGGAGCAGAAGATCTGTTCACCACGGGCTGATCAATTCACAGATACTTATCCAGAGCATCTGAAGCATCTTTACCTAGCGGAGGAGGAGAGGCTGAAGAAGCAGCACAAGTCTCCAAATGATTCAGTTCTATCAGAAGAAAAGCTTAATAAAGCAGTAGAGTAAGTCACGGAAATACTTCTTTAAAAATAGTGGGTTTTTTATGCTTACAGAGGTACTTGATCATCTTACATTTTACATGGACTCCAGTATGATGATTTGCTTAAAAAAAAGCACGTAAGCCTTCAGTGTTTTTCTGAACTGTTAGAAAATGTAAGAATACAGCTTTGTTTTGTTTACATCAGAATCAGCTTTTTGGGGTTTGATTCCAGAGCATCGGCCAATTTTTATACTGTTTATAGAATCTTAGACTTGGAAGGGACCTTTAAACATCATCCAGTCCAACTCCCCTGCACTGAACAGGGATGTGTACAGGTAGATCGGGTTGTTCAGAGCCTGGGCCAGACTGACCTTGATTGTGTCCAGGGATGGGACATCCACCACCTCTCTGGGCACCCTGTTCCAGTACATCACCACCCTAATTGTAAAAATCTTTTTTCTTGTGTCCAATCTAAATGACACCTTTTTGTTCCCATTACAGGGAGTAATGTAGATCTCTGAATTCCAAGCCCTGTGTATATTTAAATTTTTGGAAGAAGAACATGCAAGAGAGTACAGAGAGAGGCAATCAGATCCAAGCCCTGCAGTAGGAGGAAAGTAGAGTTGTGTGCGGAATGGGCAGTTAATTCACAGAGATGACTGATGCAAAACTTAGGCTATTTTTCAAACCAGATTTTTTTTTTTTTTTTAACTTTACCAAGAGTCGTCGTGATTATAAACAAAATTTGTAATTTTATATGAATCTGGCTGCTAATGTGCAAGGTGCAGTGACACTATTAGGCAGACTTCAGTGCTCTATGGAGATGTAAAATAGGGCATTGATTAGGTAATTCTGTTAAAATATTAGCGAACGTTGCCTTTTAAGTAGTTTTGCAGTTCTGAGATGGGGTGTTATTACTTAATATTGCCACAAGATGGAGATCAGAGTATAACAGGTTTTTATTTTTTTTTTTCCTTCGGAAGGGTTGTATTCCATAAAACTGTGAGCAAATCTGTTCACTTACCTTTTTGATTTTCTACCTTAGATTTCTGAGATGATGATGGTGAATTCTAGAAGTCTTTTATTATGAACAGTAGACTAAACAAAAACTCATTCTGTGAATAGCTGTTAAATATCTAGCAAAGCTTATGTTTTTCAAGTATGAAATATGTGATACCACACTGTTTACATAAAGGACTTACTGTGAATCAGAAAAATAATACTAAGCAGAGAATTCTGTATATCTATTATAATAATATGACAATAAATGCCAGACAAATGGCACTGTGGGAGTGTTTTTTATAGAGTTTTCTTTTGTGAGGGATAACTTCTTTTTGAATTTGAGAAGGAATATGAATTCAGCTCCTAATTTCAGAATGTTAAGGGCATAGTATACTGTTACGCCATCTTCTTCAGTAAGAGTTTTAGAAAAGAAATTGTTGCTGCTAACCTTTTTCACTTTGCCATGTCAGCGTGAACTCTGATGAGCAGTTTGCTGACATTTGCTTGTCCTCATATTCTGCAGTTGTGTGCATGTGTTGGATCTAGAAAGAGATAACACAGCTCAAAGTTAATGCAGTGGTCAAGCTTTTCAAGCTCAGAAGACTTTGTATGACGGAGAGAAACATCCTCTTTTAGGCAATGCTTAGCCTTCATATATGCTATTCACTTAAGATCCAGCAGATAAGACATGTGCATTACTAAAAGTTCCATGCAGACCAGTCTTTAGTTCACTTGGAATGAAGAATTAGTTTGCTATGTTGCTAGATGCTCATTATAGTACATGATACCAAATAGCATTACATGTAAGAGTAGTGCAGTTAGGTATTCGTACAATACGAAAAGATGAGCTTTGCTCTTCTCTCATGTAATCTATAAATCTATATTTCTAATTAACTTCACCCCATACGCAAAAAACAATGCAAGACTGATTCTGCAGTAGCCATGGTATATGTGATGATGGGCTATCTGCAGGCAGGCATATTTGAATTTTGTGTATTTTTTCTTACAGACCAGTCACAACTGAAGGAAAGTTTAAGAAAAAAACATCCAATCAGAAGGCAAAAGAAGAGTATGAAAAAATACAGGCTGAGCGTGCTAAGAAAAGAGAGGTAAATGTTAAACAGAGATCATTTAGAATCTTAGGCATAGAGTAGTTTAATACTATTTCCATCTGAATTCAAATAGGACCATGGGATAGGAGCACAGATTTTGGTGATATTCAGTCTTTTTCAGTTTGCCATTGATGTGCAGGCATTCAGGTCTTTGGAATTACAACTCTTGGTTCTAAGTTTTGCACTTGCTGTTGGAGGGAATTTTTATTTCATCAAGAAGTATTTAGACCTTCATTTATTTGGGGGTGTTACTTCTAGTTAATTTTACATTCCAACATTAAAGAACATTCTTACTAACCTTTGTACATCGTAGAAGCTATTTATACCATGGAAAACAAAAATATAATCGCTAAACTTATGATATATTTGAACATTCTGCAGACACGTCAGCCTTTGGGGTCATCATGGCATTGAATTTCAATTAATAAACTTGAGAAGAAGTCTTAAGTCTGATTTGTGATGGCTTACATAGGACAGGATACAAGAGAAGGAAGCTAGTTAGCTTGACCAAACTACTTACTAAAATTATGCTAGAAAAGAGGATGCAAGCTCTTTGATTTAAAAAAAGAAAAAAAAGCAAGCACACAACCCCCACCCCACCCAACATATCGTAACTATCCACACAGAGCAAGTGCCTCCATTAGTGTTCTGGTTATATGTGGTTATATATATCCTTGACAAGTAATGTGTGTACAGTCGAAAACTGAATTGTATCTTTTTCTTATCTTAGTAAAGGCAGAAGTCTGTTTTCCTTTGAAGAGGACTGGTCACTATAATTTCAGTCCTGATTTAGCATCACAACATCATGTGCTTGTGATGCTATGTTAGTATTGCAAACAGAACACCTAAATGTTTCCCGTATCATATCTGCCAGTCTCGTGCAAATATATCCAGTATCCTAGCACATCTGGGTTGGTATGGCATTTTCATGGGGTTGCTGAATCAAGCTCTTTCAGTCTTGCACTGAAAAAGAGAAGGTAGAAAACTTTGGGCACTTGAGTCATTTAAGAAAAAAAGGAGCACGTTTGGCAGAAAGGATATAGTACATTTTTGGGACCAAACCTTCCTTTGTGGGATATTCTACTAAGAAAACTTGGCTTTTCTCTTGAAGCTTTAGTCAATATATATTTTGATTGCATTATGTTCTGAAACAATCCTAATTAAGCTTTTAAAGTCAGTGGCCTACTGTCAGTACAGTACCTGATGACTAGTGCTCGTATAAAAGAGAATATATTGCTTATAGATTTTTTTTCACAATCATATCTGTTTTGTTTTAGGAAGCAGAAAAAAGAAAACAACAAAGAGAAGCAGCTCAGAGGTTGTACAAGCAAAAGAAAATGGAAGCTTATAAAATACTGAGTAGGAAGACCAAGAAAGGACAGCCAAATCTAAATGCACAAATGGAGTTTCTTCTTCAGAAAATACAACAAAAGACATAAACCTCTGCATAAACCACCATTACAGGTTTTGAGTTACATGTGGACATTTTATTAAATGACTTTTAATAAATAATCTCTTTTTGCTTCTTCATGACTTTTTGCCACTGGCACGATTTATCTCAGTCCAATTGTGGAAGGTATTCGCCCTGAATATCTTAGGAATATTCTGTTCCTGAGAGTCAGTGAGACCTGGTACTTTGAAAATAAATGGCCCATGTTAATAAAATTCTATTTGTGTAATGTCCTGAATTCCATATCATTAGATCTTGGAACTGTCTGAACACGAATTTATGTTTGTTTTATAGCTCCTAACTCTTCCAGCTGCTGTAACTACTACAGTCATGCTTACTGGAGAGGAGCAAAATGAGTGGAGTAAAATGCGACATGGTTGATAATCTCATGAACTGCCAAGGAGAGGAGTATTCTCTGGGATAGGATTTGGCACATGAAAACAACAAAAATTATACTTGGTTGGCTATTATTCCCCTTAAAACTTTGCAAAAGTTAAAAAATGTTTTAAAATTGAAGATATAGTATGTTTCAATCATCTTCATCACAAAATATGTATGATTGTAAACAAAGTGTGGCTTCTTAAATGAGATGGATTGAGTGGATTGGTTGAAGTTTTGTTTTGCTAAATATGTCCTTCTTTTTCTGTGGAATTTTTCTTTATTCTGTGGAATATATATAGAAAAATAATTCTAAAGAATTTGAGGTGTTAGACTGATCTTTGTGGGTCCCTTCCAAGTCGGGGTGTTCAATAATTCTATGAAATCTTGATTTGGAGATTTAATTAGTGATTTTTAACTTAAAAATTAAATTAGAATTAAAAAGTTTGTATCGAACTTAATAAAAATTCTCGAGGCATGCTCTGTAAGATTTGCAATACTTTTTACAAATTACATCATAATTATCACATTTAGAATTTGATGTCAACTGCACAAATGCAAAGTTTTTATTATTTAGAATGTATGAGAAATATGAACAGTTTTGAATTGTTTGACAAGTACTGTTAATTGAAGAATAGTTTAGGAGTTTGGGTTGGCTAAAATTCTTGTTATGTCAGTATCCTGAGGCTTTTTCCAAACGTAATTAAGCATTTTGCAAGGCGTGGCATCTTTTCCTTCTTATGACTTGAACCCAAGTCGTAAGAAGAATGTGGGAAACTTTCTGAAATGGACGTGTCCATTCTTGTAGGAGACAATGGGAAAAAATGACATGCCAGTATTGTTCTGTGCTTTCCTGATAATTGCTGTAATTAAAGTCATCACAGACTGGCTTTGGTTGAAAGTGGTCTTAAAAATCATCTAGTTCTGACCCCCCTGCTGTGGGCAGGGTTGCCACCCACTACATCAGGCTGCCCAGCGCCCCATCCATCTTGGCCTTGAACAAATACCTCCAGGGATGGAAACTCAATTTTGAATTGCTCTGCACAGAAACAGTGAAGAGGAAAAAACGACTATTTAACAGTAGTGCACAAGACTTAAAATACTTCATCTAACTTGTGAATAATACAAAAGGAATACCATCCATATAAATTCATGGTTGAAATTCATCCTTTATCGTTTGCATGTCTCTAACCTGTACAAACTTTTAAAACTCCAGCTAAGGAAATATGAAGCACAAGTATTTAGAATTGTTACCTTAAAAAGATCTCAACTCAGTTTGCCATTAGCTTAGTTGTATGTACTGGGCACAAATCTGTAGGGATGTCACCTTTCCTGTGTATATAGGAAAGATTTCAGAAAATGCCAAGTGTTAGACTGAGAATGCGTTAGTCCGTGGCCATCTTAGATTACTCTTACTGCTGTAGATGCTGGTATACTGCCTGTATATCAGTATCCTTTTAGAGATGGTGTTTATCTGTAAAGCATTTGGATAAAGTTTGAGTGGTGCATTTGAGATTTCTTTTTCTCATTTTGACTTTACTGTCAAAATATTCTGTACATATGTTCGATTCTTCATGGAGAGTAGGGTAAGGATAACATGAGCTATTTATTTCTTTATTTTGGCATATCTGATTTAATTTTACCACATCTCACAAATCAGTTCAATAAAACATATTTGTTTTAGCAAATTGCATTCATAATTCACTCAAGTAATTTAATGGCTTCACATCATTCCTCCTTAGCAACAAGAAGTCTCAGTGGTTTTAGGGTGGAAAAGAACAGAATTTTCTTATGAAAAGAAATCGCTTTTTCCACTCATGTTATTCTCTCTTTAAGGATTAGAAGTAGGAGAGGAATTCAAGATACAAAGTATGTGTTCCATGGTATTGCTTACAAAAATTAATCTTGCATCATTCTAACTTTAGTTAGAAAGTTCTCTTCAGTCTTTTTACTCTGTACTCAGTAATATGTAAATTTTCCTGAGTGGGAACCAGAAGATGCCTCCCTGGTTTAGTTACGAGATATGGTTTAGTAGCTTGTGGTAGCAATGGTAGTGGGAGGACAGTCGGACTAGATGATACTGTCGGTCCTTTCCAACCTTGTGATTCTATGATTCTAGGACTCTTTGTGCCGTGCATAGGACAGTCTGGTCAGGTAGAGCACTTGATCAAATACTGTTATGAGGTCTGACCTTAGCCTTGTCATTGCTGGTTTAATGTAGGAGAGACAATTTGTGTCCTTTCTCTCACTAACTTTCTTCTGTACCTTTATTTGATTTGGAGATAAAAGGGGTTATTAATAAGCCCAGCTTATTGCAGACTCAGGTGAGAGATCTTTTTCTCCACTGTAAATTAATTCTTGATATAAGGGTTCTTGAAAGGGAAAAGAAAAGAAAAAGCTAAATTTACATATTTGCTAACTCTGTATTTTCTATATTTTGCTAATTGCCCATGACGGCACTGCCCAGTGTCTCTATATTTCATCTGCCTGCAGTCCTGCAGCATCAAGCTCCTTACATTAATTCAACACAGATGCAGCAGCAGCAGCTCTGGATGACTCAAGGTCATGAAGGCACAGTAGGGAATCAAACCTTTGCTTTCATTTGCAGAGCAGCAGTGTAACAGCTGACCCATCATCCATTCGTGGAGACAAAATATTGAGAGTGGAAGGAAGGAATGGTATGGAGAAGGAAATAGTGAGCTAATTACTTTTTTTGAATTGCTGTTTTCTACAAAAATAGTCAAATGTGAGAGAGATGATTTTATGAATGTTGTAAATGCTGCCACTTTCAACCCTGTCTTTGAAATATTTGAGAAGTGGATTCAACAGCATACTTAGACTTTAAAGCAGTCAAGCTATTTCTGTTTGAAAGTATGATCCACATAAGTACCAAAAAAAGACCACTCCTTTGACTGTTTTTCCTTCACTGCTGTGAATGTGTAGGAAAGATGTTGAAACATGAAGAGTAGTGAAGTCCTACTACAGTTCTTCCAGTCACTCACTCAAGTTCTCTCTTTGCTGGCGGTTTGTTTTCTATTCTCTGAAAACCTGCATCTCAAGTGGTTAAAATCTCTCAGGTACATCAAAGATGAAGTGGAATTTTGATATCTTGTTCTTTAAAACTGAGTATTCAATGAACACAGGGAACATTAGATGTCTTCTGGTTTTTCCTTTCATTGTAGACTGGTGAAGCTGTGAATCAGAAATAAGGGAGGAAGAAAACAGAGTACAACACATTCCTTTTTCCTTTTTGGTTCTGAGGAACAAAATAAGAAGTTTCCCTTGCTTCTTTTGCATGTCTTGGGAAAGTCACAACAGGGACCTGAATGGAACACTCCATTAAGCTGCTCTGAAGATAGGAGGACTTTCTCACTCCATATCCATCTCAAAATAGATATTTTTTTCATGCTACTTATAGGAAAAATAAAACAAAAACTTTTCTCCATGGAATTATGTTGACTTTATGCTGCTTCTTTCCTCCTCCCTCCATCCCCCGCCCTCTGTTGTCCCCCCCCCCCCATCCATCTGAGATGTCAAAAAAGAGTTTATAGTGAGTTAGGAGCTCCACTTGCCCTTTGATATCGCTCCACTTTTTCACTGTTACTGTGTTTATTTACTCAGGAAAAAAAAGAAAAAAGCAGTGGACCTACAATGATATTGTTTATTGTTTTTGTTTATTTTGGAGCTCAGTTTTGCATATGATGACTACTACATAGTGAAAGATGTGTTCTAAGACACAAAAAGTAGTAAGTAACAACAGCAGCCAAGAAATCTCTGAAATATTTTTAGAGAAATGGAAGGTGGATTTATTTGTCCTCTTTTGAGAACTTAAACAAAACATTCTAATTCTGTTGTTTTCAAAATTTTCTATACTCAGTGTACCACCAAGGGGGCAAATAATCTCATCTCATTATAGATCACAGATGTGATTCCTAGAGATATATGTATCAACAGGGAGTTTATGGTGATTAGCTCAGATGTTAAGACTTTGAGAGCTAGGCAAGGTAAATCCTATTTTGTATGTTAAATGAGCCTTTGAAAGGATCGTTTGGCAACAATGCTTAGTTGAAAGTCCTTGATGAAAGCACAGCTGCAGCTGGCTGTCTTGTGGTAGGAAATTCATCAGTTCCTGTCTTTTAGGGTTTACTGTATATTATAAATTCCACATTCAGTGCACAAGCAGTATGTCTGACTTGGCCCAGGCTTGTCAGAGTTACAGCAGTAAGCATTATGACTGATCTGTGCATGTTTAGAGCATTTGAAGCTTCTAGAAATTTTACTGCATGCTTACATACATGATATAAAACTGTTTTGCTCAACACCCCTGACATTTGACAATGTAGCATTCAAGTCTGCATTCATGCTTCAAAGACTGTCAGGACTTCAAACTTCATCAGATGATACTACTGAGTAGAAAATGTCCCCAGACACCAAACATTCAGTAGCATTTTCTGTTAAATGAAAGACACATTTGTTTTTCATAATTATAATTGTTTTTGCTTTAGTGTCCTTCTTTCAGTTTGCATGTTCTTTTCTAATGATGGCTAAAGACTAGCAAGTTTCTGTGCTTAGGAGTATATTTTTGCTAGAGGTCAAACATTTGCAAACATAAAGCTATAGTATATAATATTTTACATTCAGCTGCAGTCATTAATGTGCTTTTCTGTCATCTCAGAGAAATCTACTGTAAAATAATTGCTGCTTTTTAGTACAGCACAAACATTTAATTCTCGAAAGACAATGCAATGAAAGCTTTCTTTTTATAGTGTTTTGATTTCTTCAATTAATGGTCCATCTGCAGCATTGATAAGGTTGCAAAGCACAAATTCAGGCTGCACCATAATTTCTACTGATATTTATCTTTTTTTTTCTATTCCTTATTTAGCTTATGGTGTTTTTTTGTTTTTTTTTCCTATGTTTTTTTCTTTGTAGATAATATAAATAAAACTGGTATTTGAGGTGAAAAATAAATTTCAATGAAATAAAAACAGATTCTTTTGAATATTCTGATACGCTTTAAAACACATTTAGTGCATGATAAACCAATACACACTAGAATCATAGTGTATTCTGAGTTGGAAGAGACTCGCAGTTCAAAGCTCCACAAAGAACCACCCAAAATTCAAACCCTATGTCTGAGGGTAGTCTCCAAACATACCTAACTCTGGGTTCAGGCCCGTGCCCACTGCCTTGGGCAGCCCGTTCCATGCCCACCGCTCTCTGGTGCAGATCCTTTCCCTAATACCCAGCTGCCCTCCCCTTACACAGCTCCATGCCTTTCCCTTGGGCCCTATCGCTGTCACACACAGTAGAGCTCAGC